GGAGACATTTAAACTCGAAATATTTGGCGTTTTTTTTAGTACTTGTTACTGACATTTGACATGAGGTTGTTGTACAGGATTGACTTAGTTTATAACAGCTGATCGTTAAGACTTTAAATCCGTAAACAGAGTTTGAGTATTTTCATACGATCATTTTTTAATGCCCCAATATAAAATTTCGCCGAGCAATCCAGTTCTTGTAAGTGTGAAATAGGTTCTCCTGTGAAATTGGTTTTGGAATTTTTCCCTGTTACTAATATGATGCGATCCCCAATCGCATGTCATTACATTCTGGATAAAGAGGCAACCGCTGAGGGCAGTTTTGTCACAGAATTTTAGGAGCTAAAAACTTTTAGATGGACGAAAACAGTAGCTGCACAATAGCAACAAACAAAAACAACCAGGTGGTGAACATCATATCCAAGCCATTAATCCGTTCAAGTGGTCGCAAGCCAGAAGGAAAACCAACACCACCACCAGCAACAGCAGCTCTAGCATCAAAACGACCGGCAGCGGCAGCAGCAGCAGTACCATCACCATCAGCAGCGGCAGCAGCAGCAGCGCCGCCACGAGCAGCAGCAGCAGCGGCAACAGCAGCAGCGTCGCCACGAGCAGCAGCAGCAGCAGCAGTGGCAGCAACACCATCGTCACAACGAGCAGCTGCAGCATCATCATCGGGTTAGTCAGATTCAGCTTTTCATGAGAAATGCTAAATGTTGGGGTGAATGAAATTTAAGGGACATGAAATGACCCGAATGAAAAATAGACGGTCCAAGTGAGACGGCCGAACTGGATTAAATTGATGAAAATTTTCCCAACTTTTTGGATTTTTCTGAATTTGACGCCTGGATTTTTTCTGAATTTTGCCAACATTACTTTGGTGAGAAACAATCGGCTCCTTATAGCAATACTTCCCTGTAAGGAATTGTATTTTTTTTTTTGTTGAAAAAAAAAGATAAAGCAGAACGTTAAAAATCGAATTTTAGATTTTACGCAGCACTTATGAACGGAATTGAAATTTGCAGATACCGAAGCGGCTGCTATATCTGAACTCGCTTCCAGTGCACCTTCGGAGCCGCAGGTGGTTTTCATAGGTGTAGTGGTCGTGAGGGAACCTCAGTACAGTATAATATGGAGCCGAACACATGGCTTTGTCGTTGTATCAGCAACTTGTGATTTGGTGGTTAGTTTATCGTTTCTTTTTTTTACCGTAGTAGTCAGCCTTCTGGTGGATTCTGGAAGGGTAATTAACTTGATTTTCTCTAAAGAAGTACTTATCGAGATTTGAGCCGTTCAGATTTCTTTGGGCTTCATCACCTCGATCTTAATATTGTCACTCCTAAACTACGATGAGGCACTTTATCGAATGGGGAATAAAAAAGAAGGGAAATGACTAAAAAATAAATCTAATTTGAAGTAGTGGAAATTGTTTTTCGTTCCTGACAGATGTTTTTTTTGTTTGGTATGTTGTTTGAGCAAAGTGAAAGGATTACTCAAGTAACCAGTAGTAGTTTTGCTGAAATGAATTTATATTGTTTATAAGGTGATGATGATTATAACGATATTCCCAGCTATAATAACTGTAACGGAGGGGAGCTGGGGATGGGGTTGGGCCTGTCTGGCGAGGGGAGTGTGACACCAAGTAAAATTTATTTATTAGGTCAATATCAAAGAAAATCAAAAAAAAAAAAAAAAACAATGACTAGCCAGAAGTCGTCCGGCAGCAGCTCCAAGCTGCCACCGGCCACACACGAAAAGATTTACAAGCGGCAGCAGCTCCAAGCTGCCGCCGCACACATTCAGCAGCCGCCCCAAAAAAACCGGTAATTACACACTCCACATTTCATTTTCGATTAACACATTAAAATCACGGAGGGGGAACTCGAGCCAAGAGACGGGGCATTTACGTATTACAGGAAACCGAAGGGCAACTGGACAAGGCGAAGGGGAATGAGCCTCCAATTTCGCTTCCTTGTTATTCGCTCCTTCTTCCTTTTGCAACATAACAACACTAGTAGTAACGGCAGTAGTAATGACAACAGTAATAATAATGCTCTAATTTTTCAGCTTGCTGCAGCCGACTGGGTTAAATACTACTGTATTCCATTTGACACAGAAGTGGGTGTAAAATACATGGCGCTCTATTGTGACAAGTATGAGAAAACGCCGTTAGCTTCTGAGCCACATGGAAAATCCATCATTGTTGGTTATTCTTGAATTCCTTCTTTCCCCAATCTTCTGTATGATTGAGTTCAGGAGTGAATGAGGAATAAAATTCTGAACAACCTTCTCCTGATTTACCCTTTTTTATTGTTCGTTTTTTGCATCTATGCAATGCAGAAAACGCATATTGACGAAGGATTGTCTCTTTGTGTGTGTCTGTTTGTGAGTCTAAACCGATTTTCCAACTGAAGACCTTTAAAAGCTACAGGGCTGAAACTTTGGGAACTTAATCTGCATGCACGTACGGGCCCCAATCGCCAAAATGGGTATTCTTACCCGCCTCTATTTTTTTTAAAAAGATGCTTAACAGTGCTGGCATCCAGTCTCAATTCTTTTAAAGGAAGCGTCTGCCGGAAAAAACAGTGTCATTAGTGACGAAATTGTGCGGGAAACTATGCAAAAAACGTATCTTCGAACCGACAGTCAAAGCACTGGCCATTTATTTTTTTTAAAATAAGGCGAAGTGTTTTTTGTTTTACTGCTGTTGGTAATAAGGCGACAAACTGTGCTGAAGTTATCTGCGTTTGTGAGTGTTGTTGAGACAGTTTTATCCTTAAAGCATGAAACTACTTCCTCTAAAAATTCTGCCTGTACTTTTGGAATTATCATTATTATAATCACGATTTCGTTACTTTTTTTTTGCAGTGCCATACAATTATACATCTTCCACATGGACAGAAGAAAGTTGTCGATTCGACCAGAAATACCAATTTCGTGATGGATTGCGATATTTTGGGCGACGTATTGGTGCCCGATATCGCGCTGGTTAACAGTTGCATCAAAAAAGGCTTCTTAAAGGTTTCTTTGATATTTTGTTTTGTTTTTTTTTTTGAAATTGCTTCGTTGCTTGTTTTTAAAATAAAAGTACTGAGTGAGTTATTTCAGGCACAGGTGCAGATTTCATTTGATCTCAACAACGACTGGCCGTGCAGACTTTTTGCTGTGATTGCAAATGGATCAGTGAAGCAAATCGTAAGTGATTCACATCCATTCCCTGTTTTCTTGCTTACCTGCATTCGAATTTCATGAGCCAGTGTTATCCATATAAACTGAGCCAATACTTTTATTTTAAAAACAAGTAATAAAGCAGTTTTTTAAGCAAAAAAAAAAAAAAATTAAAGAAATCTTCAAGAAGCCTTTTTAATGCAGCTGCAAAACCAGCGTGGTATCCAGCACTAATACATCACCCAAAATTCACATTCCGGTTATATGCATTTCTTCTCCTGAAGGATGTACCAGTTCAGCTGTTCTCCGAAAATTGAAATACCTAGCAAAAATTTAGCCATTTCGAGATGTCTATTGTGTATCTTGTATGTATAATAACTTCATTCCTGAAGCTGCTGCTTCTTGACCTCGATGAGGATATACCTTCCTCGGCTAATTGTCATTTTATTTTCTTTAATCGGTTGTTTTTTCTTCACAGCGCATTTTTTTTTCCATCGATTCGTCAAAAAACAAATGCCAAGTGCAAAATTAGCTACGGGCAGAAGCAGAATTACATGTCCGTGAATTATTCCATGCGCAAGTGAATCTTGCTAACTGACAGTTCATTTTTGTGCGTTTTGTGCTTTGTAATAATAGCACAAAACGCATATTGTCACGGGGTTGTCTCTGTGTGTGTGCATGTGTGTGTATGTGTGTGTATGTGTGTGCGTGTGTGTGTGTCCCACACTTTTAACTTGGGAACCACAAAAGCTGGGCGACTGAAATTTTAGTAAAGTGTTCACAGCAACGTGTGACCCCGCAAATTTAATTTCAGTCTTCCCGTACTCATGGGTAACACATGCGGCCCCGTAAAAATTTGGCGGTTAAAATCATTTTTTCGGGAATCGTGGATGCTAAGGAGCTGAAGTATTATGGGTATGTTCCCTGCTTATATGCGACCTAGAAAATTTGAATTCATCCTTCCCTTACCCGCGGGTAACACATACGACACCGTGAAATTTCGGCGGGGAGAATTATTATCTCGGGAATCATGAAAGCTGGGAAACTGAAATTTTGCGGGTATGTCCTCTGCTCACGTACGACCCAGAGAATTTAAATTCACTAATCAGACGTCCGCTGGATGGAACTGCACAAAACGCATGATCGCACCGGCTGCCCTGGCGCGCACCGTTATTTATTTTGAGTTATGATGACCGGACTTGCATCGTTGGTGGCTTAGTATAGCAGGCAATCTCATCCATTTAAAATTTATATTAAAAGAAACTAAAGCTTCTCCGTAAGTCAGTGTCACTGGAAAGAAAAAACATCCAAAAATGGCCCGAGTAGGAAGTTGTACATTCCAACAGCAGCTACAGGCTAGCAAAGCTGTCGGTGGCTTCTTTTTTCAAAGTTTGCTCAAAAGCAAACTAGCAGTGTTTTTGACTCCCCGGCGTGGGCCGGTACCAGTTCGTCATCGAAACGAATGAACGAATCATAAAGTGACTAGGATTATCTCATAGTCGAAGTTGGACTTTCGATTTTGAGAGAGCTTGTCTTTAACCAAGTGCACCAAGCCTGTGAAGAAATATCTTTGAATTGTGCATTTGATCGGTTTCAGCGAAATTATGGTAGAAATTTTGATTGAATTTGTAAATCTGAGCAACTTTTTTTTTTTCAGGACTGGGAAGAAATTAATGCAAAATGTATAGATGCCACGAAGGAATTTAATCCACCAACATCAGAGATCAAATCGCATGAAACCAGGCGTCTCAATCGTCGCGCTGAACAGGAAGCAGCTTTTGATGAGTACTGCAGAAAAGTGCCTGAGATTTATCGAGGACCAGAAACGAAAGTGATTATATCGGATAGCAAGAAACCGGAATACTCAAAACCAACACCTCCAGTGCCAGTCCAGGCACGGAATGAGGTTTGCCTTATTAAGCACCAATGCCATTTGTGATAAAACTAAGTATTTACGCATATCCGTGTGGAGGGGATTTAGCTTCCAAGCTGGATT